TAAAAAGAAGACTAAAGATTAAACAATCACATTTTACAGTATGATTTAAAGAAACAGGTATAGCATTGTTACATGATTTATATATTGCCAACCGTTAGAATTATATTCCTAACATGGACCATGAATCTACAGATAAGGTTGGTTTTAATTCTGTCTTGTTTATGTTATTGCAGTTACTACATCATACATTTACTGCATGATAATTTAATCTTTAGTCTTCTTTTTATCAGTTGGGACCAGTTTTCATTTACTGTTGGAACTATTATTGTTAAAGTATTTAAAATATGAATCTTATAAGTACATATAAGGGTGAGATAATATTTGCTTGCCATTTAGAACAAGTGAACGTTGACTAAAGCAAAGACTTTAGATGGAAGTACGTTAAAGTGCATTGCAGTTCAATTGATTTAAATATGACACATTTAAAGCAGGTGCTTAAAATCAATAGAATACAAAGCATGTCTTTGTTTGAGCTTATTGCAACAGCAACTGCCTGCATTTCTTATGCTGTGATGCTAGTGAGAGTACCTGAAGCGAGCTCAAGGAAATGCATTTATCTTGTCTCCCAGAACATTGCATAGTTATTAGAGAAGCATTTCCCATCCCTGACAACTTTAGGGTGTGTGGACGTCAACTTTCAGATTCGGGTTTTCCCAGATGTGCCAACATGACATCTCTAATAAAATGGAACTTTGAGGAACTTCATGCCTCGGAGTCTTCTTTCGTTGGGGGTGTTATTTCGAACCCTGACATCAGCTGTATAATGTCATGTGGCTCTTGAAGACATTCATGACTCTCCATGTGATTTCTCTCCAAGGATTCTAGAACTTCAGCAGAACGGACACATGGATCTACTGAAGCATAAGTGGTGGCCAAAGAATTCCCAGTGTGATCTGCACTCCTCGGTGGACCCCAAATATAAAGGCGGCGCCTTGGACATAAAAAGCTTTGCAGGTGTTTTTTGCATACTGGCAGCTGGGATTGTTCTCTCCTGCTTAATTGCCATGTTGGAAACATGGTGGAATAAAAGAAAAGGCTCACGGGTTCCTTCAAAAGAGGTATGAGACCCTTCCATTTCATCATAGCACTAGAGGTGAGAAGGAAAATGCATCTTCTGATATGTTTTAATGGCATTTTAATCACCAATTGTGAACCATTTGTCTCTTGGAGGAAAAAAAAATACATCAAGAGGGAAATAGTGTAATGTCGTACTTATGAAATACTTATCCTAATTAATTTCCGTGGGATTTACTAGCACATATCTTGTTCGCAAGCATTTAGTGAATAATAATTGGCTTTCATATTATTTGTATAAAGTATTAGCGATTAAGTATTTTATTACTAATCTGGATAAGATCTATCTTCTACCAACGTACGATGCAGCCTGATCCTACATTCAAAAAGGAAATCCTGCTAATTCCATAGGGCTTACATCTAAGACTGCATCCTTAATTGGCTTAACTGAATTTTATCTTTGGTTGATTAAAGCAGGATCAAATGTTAATCAGTTTTGACTTCTGGTAAGATTGTACTTCCCTGTTTCATAAGATGTGAACAAGAAAAGAAGGCCTGCAACTGATGGTTTATAAAACTGTACATTGTTATATACATTTCTTTACAATCAGCTACATTTGGGGGTGTTGTGCTTTTTCTTTTTTTTTATGACTTGCAACTGATCTCCTAACAGTTACATTTAATGATATGACCAAGTGATCAAATGGCAGACAATTATTAGAATTACTTTAATCGGTTGACGTTTCTGTCCATTGTTTGAATGCAAAATCCTGCCTTAAATTGTTCTATAAAATTTTTCAGAGTATTAAGCATTCTTCAGAACTACTCAGGTAAAGTTATGTTCAGATTGGAGGGAGCACACTTCTCTTTAGATTTAATCACTAAATTTCTAGGTTTTTTTGCAAGTGTTGATTTCTATATGTCTATGGAGAATCTCCAATGCCCTTCCTGCAAACAACATTAAATTTCCCGCTTCCAATTAAGATTTTAATAAAGAATGAAAATTGGTTAAGAAAGGTTCACTTAAAGCATCTACGGGCATTCCTCAACGTACGACCCCAATTGAGCCCCAAATTTTTGTTGCTAAGTGACACATTTGTTATGTGAGTTTTTCCCCATTTTACAACTTTTCTTGCCACAGTTGTTAAGTGAATCACTACGGTTTGTAAATTAGTAACATGGTCATTAAGTGAAACTGATTTCCCCATTGACTTTTCTTGTCAGAAGGTCACAAAAGGGGATCACATGACACTGCCACCATCATAAATATGAGTCAGTTGTCAAGCATCTGAATTTTGATCACGTGAGCATGGGGATGCTGAAATGGTTCGTAAGTGTGAAAAATGGTCTTAAGTTCTTAACTCACTTTTTTCCGTGATGTTGTGACTTGGAGTGGTCACTAAATGAACTGTTGTAAGTCGAGGACTACCCGTACTATATATAGGAGTAGCTAGACAATCGCTTGAGTTTGTGGGATTCGTTGTCTAGTTTTGAAATAAATAATCACCAGCCAAAACTTGCAAGAGAAAAAAATGGCAATTTTATGTACCGTACTACTTTGCAAAGAGGGCATGCATGCACACACACACACACGCACACACACACACATACCCAGAGGTACAATGGACACATCATAAATCATCTATATGTTCCCCTTATATTCCCTATTGCCATTACAAATTTACCTCCCACCCTTCATTGGCTTAGTACTTATGCGGTCACAACCTATCCCATGTGTCTAAAATGAATACATCATCTCCGCCCCTGATTACATCTCCCATTATCCCATTATTCTAATTCTATCACCCCCCGCCCTTATTTACAAATGACCTTTTATGGTCCTAGTTCCTTGGGGTTGTCTCAGGGATGGGCTGCTAAGAGTTCACCCGGGTTCGGGAGAATCCTTAGCTAATGTTATGGCTGGTTTGGAGAACTGCCAAATCCTAACCCTGGCTGGCTCCACCCATCTCACCTTGCCCCTCCCAGGAATCTCCACGCAGCCGGTTTGGATGCGAGGTAAATACAGGGCCCGCGCGGAGGCTCAAGGAAGCGGAAAAACAGGCCTCCCAGAAGTTCTGGAAGGCTGGAAACAGACCCATTTACGACATCCGGAGGGGTTCCAGAGCCTGGAGGAAGCAGTTTTCATCTTCCCAGAGGCTGGAAAACACCCACACACAGACAGTGGCGCAGGAGGCTGACTAAGCCACGCCCACCCAGCAATACGGCAGAGAACCCACTGCTGAAACTTTTGAGATTAGAATCATGAGATTAGAAATATATATACATTGTAGTATCTTCACAGACTAGCATGTCTTCTTACAGTTCTATAAAACTAATAGGCTCTGTTTCCCACAAGTTTAATCCATGTGCTTCATTCTGGTAACTTCTTACCAGCACTTCAAGCAACAAGTTGCTGTGAGCGTAATCAACACAACCGCCCTCTCTTACTTGACTTCGTTTTCTTAACGTGAACTAAGAGCTGCTTGACACGTTAAATATCTGTATGTAGACCTCAGCTGTTTTAAGTGGGTGCATAACATAGACAACGCAGGGAACATGGTTCGCAGATAGAGTATTTCTAAAAGGCAAGGTTGCTATAGCTCTCTGTTGCACCTACATTAGGTGGCAAATCCAGATCTGCTAAGAGCCCTGCATGTCTGCATAGCCTGCTAAGAGAAACCAAATTACAACATGTGTGTGGACTGTACGCCCAGAATCTCCAGATATCTTTCAAGGGCATCCTATATATTTCACTTCAAAAACCAAAAGATTGTTGCAAACATATTGCAATAGCATTTAGACTTATATACCACTTCACAGGGCTTTACAGCCCTCTCTAAGCTGTTTACAGAGTCAGCCTATTGCCCCCGACAACCTGGGTCCTCATTTTGCCGGCTTCGGAAGGATGGAAGGCTGAGTCAACCTTGAGCCTGGTGAGATTCGATCTGCCAAATTGTTGGTAGTCGGCAGTCAGCAAAATTAACCTGAAATACCGCATTCTAATCTAACCACTGCACCACCACGGTTCATATACAGGCAGTATATGAGCAGACTTGCTACAGTTCACTTAGTGACCATACAACGGCACTGAAAAGAGTGACTTATGATCATTTTTTTCACAGTTATGATCTTTGTAGCTCCCCCCCTCGATCAGGTGATCAAAATTCAGGCAACTGGTTCACGCTTATGATGATTGCTGAGTGTCTCAGGGTCACATGATCACCTTCTGCAACCTTTTGACAAGCGAAATCAGTGGGGAAGCCAGATCCACCTCACAACCAGGTGACTAAGTTATTAATGGCAGTGATTCACTTAACAACTATGGCAAATAAGATCGTAAAATGGTGCAAAATTCACTTAACAAATGTCTCGCTTAACAAGAGAAATTTTGAGCTCAATTGTGATCTTAAGTCAGGTACTACCTTATATATAAGCATAACATATAACTTAACACCATTTGTTTGAGTGAGAGAGGGAAGGGGGCAGGAGAGATAGTCCAATCCAACTTCTCTGTATGTGTGTGTGTTTGAGAGGGGGGATGGAGGGAGAGAGGGAGGAAGGAGGGGGAGAAGAAAAAGAAAGA